GGCCTCTTCGGCCCCTCTTGGGGCTCTCTTGGGCTATCTTGGGGCCATACTGAGACCTCAACAGCCCACCGGAAGCGAAAAGGCGAGAAGACACAAAGCATTGTTACTCTCAAGGTTTTCGAATGATGTTGACCTCTTGGAGGGGTCCGCGGGGGCTCCGAGAGCAGCTGGAACCATCCGGTGGCTCTCTTGGGGCCTCTTGGAGGCCTGACGGAGGCCATATTTAGCCGTCCGCGGCTATATCGAGGTTCTGAAGAATTGGGGGCCCTCTCTGAGCCATACTGGACCGTCTTTGGCGCTCTGACCGCTCCGTCTGAGGCCCGAGAAGCCGCGGGCCTCCAGATGTCGAAGGTTTGGAAGCTGATTTCTGGTTTGTTTCTGCTGTGAGGCGGGAGGGAAGAAGGGATGGTCAACATTTGCGCGAAATTTTTCGACCGCCCCCCATCTGGCCGCCTGCCTGGGAGACATCCTCGGGCCACACAGGACCATGGGGACTGCTGGGAGCGTCCTGCCGCCGAACTCTTCCCTCGTCGCAGGCTGCTGCAGCCGCCGAAGGGCAGCGGCGCTCCCGTGGCAGACCTCTGGAGATCCGCGCCGTGTTCTCGCGACCTCTGCGAGTTGCCTCGGCGCACTGCCAGAGGCTGTGCATCCACATCGCGAACAGCATTTCGAGCTCTGGTCCGGCCGCAACTGAAGGCGGTGGGTCTCACGCAGCTTCTCGCCCCCAACCCACACGCAAGTCCCCCCTTTCCGAATGACGTCGGCGGGATCCCGAGAGGGGATATACCTGCCGCGGAGCTGCAGGGCGTGCTTCTCGCTCCGACAAACACGAGCTGGCGGCAGAAAGGCGCACGCCCCGTGGCGCCGCGCCTTGACAACGCAGTGGGCCGAGCGGGCGTAAGCGCCTGATGGAGCGCAGGCACGGGGGCGACGACGCCGCGCTTCCGACGGTGGCCCCCCGACGCGGCGGCGGGCGCGGTTCGGTTGGACGGAGGGGGGAGGGACAAGGAAAAGGGGATGTGCGGCATGCGCTGCATGCAGCTGCTTTCGGCCCCACCGCTGTGCGCTCTCTCATCGATACACTGGCGCTTCCCGGCGCCAAGGCGACGTATAGCGGACACGTGAGCTGATTCGCGTGCCTATCTTTTGCCATTTCGTCCGGCTTGGCAGGAGAAGGGGGAGGATGAGGAGGAGGAGGAGGAGGAGGAGGAGAAGGCGGAGAAGGAGACCGAGGAGGAGGAGACCGAGGAGGAGGAGGAGGAGGAGGAGGAGGAGGAGGAGGAGGAGTGAATGAGAGGGCCAGGAGAGTGATGAGTGGAGGAGGAGGAGGAGGAGGAGGAGAAGGGAGAGGAGGAGGAGGAGGAGAAGCCTGGCATCATGATGATGCTGATGATGATAATGATGATGATGCTGATGATGATGATGATGATGATGATGATGATGATGAGGAAAAGGAGGAGGATACTGATGATGATGACGATGATGCTGCTGCTGCTGATGATGATGATGATACTGATGATGCTGCTGATGATGATGCTGATGATGTTGATGTTGATGTTGATGATGATGATGATGCTGATGCTGATGATGATGATGATGCTGATGATAATGATGATGTTGATTATGATGACGATGCTGATGCTGTTGCTGCTGCTGATGATGAGGAGGAGGAGGATGGTGATGATGATGATGATGATGATGATGATGATGATGATGCTGCTGCTGCTGCTGCTGATGATGATGATGATGATGATGATGATGATGATGATGATGATGATGATGATGATGATGATGATGATGATGATGATGATGATGATGATGATGATGATGATGATGATGATGATGATGATGATGATGATGATGAT